CTGGATGGTCCTGTGCTTTGCAGACGACTTTGGGCTCCAAAAAGAAGACAGGCTCCGTATCTCTCTGGATTTCAGCCTGGGTGTGCTTTTGTCAAAAAGGGTCACCAGGAATTCCCATTACCCAAAGCAAAGCCCATGTTTTGTTTATGCTCCTTCTTTTTCACTACTTGATGCATTGTTTAGAGCCCTGTGAAACGTGTTACGAATTATGTTGTGCTTGGTGTAAATTAAATGCGCAAGGTTCGGAGCGCAGAAGTTCCTAATTGATTTCTGATTTGCTTTTCATTTAAGTTGTTTTTAGTTACATTTCACCATTTTATTTGATTCATTCACCTATTTTTATTCATTAAAAACTAACTAATTAAACTAACTCCTGAAAGTACGACCTGATGACCTACCTAGTTAAATGGAGCATGTTACGAATTAGATCGTGCTTAGTGAAAGCTGGATGCCCAGATTCGCAGTGCAGAATTATACGCGAGTTTGTGTTTGATAAAGAGCTTTGGTTTAACGTGGTGCGGTTGCTCTTTTTCCACCGTCAATAGTATGTCCAAGTATCGGACCCTTTGCCGTACCCTGCATGCTCCATCGTAGTCTAAATTGGAATGCTTCCGTACTCCACAAAAAATCAAGGGTATACTTCTCGCGCGTCGAGGCCCCAGCATAATCATCGATGTAGGCGGCTAAGAAAGTTAATTTCAACGACCTGGCAGCCAGAGTTTTCGTTTCAAATTGGTTTCACGCCATTAGTGCTACATCAAATTTCTGCCGACAGGAGTGCTACGACCTCACATCTGTAGATGCTTAAACGCGACCTTAGTGCTAATGAAAACTAGCATCAATGTGTTTGAACTGCTGCGCATAATTTCAAACATTAGTGTTATGCGACAAAGCTTACACTGCAAAAACATATACCTTTCATTTTCTCCACCGCAAGAATTTATACCGTTATTACGTATTCACGACCTTGCTTTTGCTGCAAAGACTTATCCCTCGGTATTAGTGTTACAGGACGAAACCTATGCTTTAAGAATGTATGCACGTCATTTCTTCCGCTGGAAAAATATACACAGCTATTACTTATACCGGACTTAACTTCTCCCGCAAACACCTATATACGAAATAAGTGCTACACTATAAAACGTATATTTCAAAAATGTATAGCGGTCATTACTTATACTGCAAAACCTTTCACCATCAGTGCTCTACACGGCATGTCGTCTACTGGAAAGACTTAAGCGCGCCATTAGTGCCACAGCAAGCACTTATGATAAAACTTTTGCTCTACAAGTGATAACAGGTAAATGTTTTTTGCAGTGTAAGTTTCGTTGTATAGCTCTTATATCTTGCATGCATTTTAACAGCAGTTATTATCACGCGTCATACAAGTTTTTGCCGTGTAGGTAATGGCGTGTATGCCTGATTTGTGGCACTTTTGTCGTGACTCCCTTTAAATGAGTCTTAAATATGATTACAAGACACTAAATAACTCCGTTTAATCAACAGTTTCGTTAGTACCACAAAATCTCGCGAGCTCTGTTTAAAAAAGTTTCGTTATTATCACAGGTGATTCCACTTAAGCAGTCACATGCCTTGCACCAATGACACTACATCGGCATGCTAGGGATCTCATTTGCTCTCATATCTTCCAGAAAGCCCAAAAATTGCTCTCCACGCCTCCGCCTATGCATAGGCCCTTACAGACCAGTTTTGTTTGGGATAAATTCCCCGCTCACGACTCGAGATATGCGTCCTGCTGGATACATGACTACAGCTGTGATATCACTGGCAGTAAGCTGAAGATCGGAAAGATTCAACCTAATGTTTCTCCGTCCGTCCCCTCGGGGTCCGCGTTGCAATACCTCGAGAAAAGCAGCTTGTCGATGTTCTTGTCTCGAGCATTTCGTTTACTAATGGGACGCATTGCTCTTAACCTCTTTGCCGAAAGACCTTGAAAAATATGTCGAACAAAAAATAGGTGTCTTCTGACATCTCACAGAACGTCATCGTGTACCGTGCGTCCCGCGTTCCGCCGCCTATAACCTGTATTATTTCTTTGCAATTTTCTTTCGGCCATACCGGGGTGAAATGGACCGCTGAGAGCTGTTTTAAGTGCTCCGATAGCAGACGTTTTCGCACGTGAGCTGTTCAAGAGCAAGGTTCGTTGTCCGTTATAGGTCTGCATTTCTTGAGGTTTCGAATTCTGATATTGCACACCCCCTTCCCTTACGACCCAGTGGTGTTTCAACGCGCGCTTTCAATTGTCAAACGTGTTACAACGCACGTAGTCGACAGTCTTGCGGCCGGACAAGGCGCGCAAGAGCGGGCAATAGTTCAGGTGCTTGGAATGTGGGATTGTATCACCGCTGTTTGCAATTAGGATTGTCCTCTCGGTCTTGAAAATAAGAATAATAAATCGGTTTGCAGTGGGCCCAAGTTCCATAAAAAACGCGTGCCAACCCATCCAAACACCATTGTGAGTGAGGCCGTAAACTAAGCGAGCCTCACCGTCCACTGGACGAAAATTGCGTAGTTTTAGCTCCCAGACCCAGTCATTTACGCTTTTGATATGGCTAGCTTTGCACTTAATAGTTGCTGGATCGTGCAAGTGTCAGAAAGAACACTTTAAAATAGCTTTCCTGGGATATATCCAAAATGTGCACGCGTGATTTTTATCATCTGAGGGCTGAGATGCAGCATAATGGGTCATGTAAATGACGTCAGCGGTTGCAATCGTTAGATGACACGAATTTCCTCAGAAACTGGTGGCGAATGATAGCTATCAAAAGGGGAAAACACAGAACCAGAAGCCATCACATGTCCTCAAAGCAAGCGAAATTCAGTTTTTTTCTGCTGAAAGACCTTTGCTCTGGCGATTTCCCAGCCTTCTACCGATATCAAAAGTCAAATTATCAACAGACGCTTTCAGTGAAGCCGGTTTCAGTGAAAAACCTCAACATCAGACACCAAAAAGGTTTTCATTGCGGTTTTCAACATTTCACAAATCACACGGGCGCATTATAGGACCCACGCCACCCTCCGACTACGCCATTGACCTCAGAGGTGCTCATACATCACCCTCCGCCGTCAGCCTTCCGCTGACCTCGGAAGCATGCTCGCCGTTGGCGAAAAGCATGTTTGCCACCCCCGTGTTATGGTGTTCGGCGATGATTAATGACAGCCGCAGGGGGCTACGCAGTGGAAGCGCACTTTTTTGACACAAATGCGGTTCAAGGCTGGTATGAACGGATGCTCAACAGTCGGTGGTCTGCGCATGATCTTCATGGGGATGATTGTCAAACTTGATCTGCATTGCGTCCAATGCAGGCGTTTTCATCGCTGGCGGGCCTTTAAACGCGCTCACGCAAGATTGAGTGAGTGGTGCTCAAATTGGCTGAACGATTGTTTAAAACGGTCCTTTCCGAAGGAGCTCTTGGTGGAATGAGCGCATAAACCAAAATTATAACATGTGAAAGGAAACACCACATATTTGGGAAAGGTGCACAATTGTGCCCGGGAACACAAAACTTTTAAAACACGTGCTGCATAATTAAGTGTGAAGCTCCAGCCTTTCATAGCGCCCACCTCGCCTCAATGCGAACACCACGCTGAGCTGTAGAGAACTGCGACATCAAGAGGCCCACTTCGCGCACCACAAATTCGTGGCAGGATCGAACGAGTCGCGAACAAAATATATCGTCAATGGTTATAAATACTAAGCATAATTTTTTCATAACACTGCTTCCGTTGATGCGGGTTGATTTTTTGCCTGTCAGGGAGCGCACAATTTCTTGCCATAAAGGGTTCAGCTAGTCATGATAATCGACCTGGCCTACGCAAATGCCATTACCTAGTCGGTGTGCTTCAAGTTTAATATCTTTGATGCGTACTCCACGATTTTGAGTTCTGGTAGCAAGCTTCATATGTCCTCTAAACTCTGCTTTGTTTTGGGTTATTTGCTGTATGTTTTGACATCATTTGGCCAGGTTTTCAGCATCTTCCTGAGTGCACTAAATTATATTATTCTGCCACGACGTTCAATAGGTAAATGAATGCAAATCACTTTTCGTTTACTTCCTCAAATGTAACTTACCCGGCTAGTTACCGTAACTAACCAGGTACGTTTGAAGAATCATTGACATGGATTATATCCCATACACGTCATGTTCACATGTGTAATCAGAGCGCCCTGCGGGTGCGCCCACTGAGACGCCGCTACAGCCAGCTCACGAATCGTCAGCGCCCTGGCACGCCTCATTGGTGCGGCTGCGTTCGGCGGTCGGTGCGGCGGACACCGGCTGCCCATCTACATCGGCCACCGTCTCCGGCATCGGGCGGCCGTTGGTCTCGGGCAGGAGCAGGCCGGCGAGGCCGCCCAGCAGGGCGAGGCCGGCGAACACGGCCGACGGCGCGCTCTCGTGCAGCTCACTCACCAAGTCCACCACGAACGGCGAGAGGGCGGCGCCCACTCGCGACGCCAGCTGCCGCAGGCCGCACGCCAGCGAGCGGACCTCAGTGGGCATCAGTTCGGCAGTGAACACCACTATCGTGTTAAAGGCGGAGGATGCGCCGATCTTGGCAACCACGCCAAGTACCAGCCAGAGCGTGGTGTCCTTCTGCACGAAGGTGAGTAACATGGCGGCGGCCTGCAGCGAGAGGAGGAGGATCAGCGAGCGTCGCCGTCCCAGCCGGTCCAGAAGGGGAAACACTAAGCTGGAGGGAATGTCGGCGAGACCGGAAAACACCGCTGCCAAATGCGGGCTCGCCGCCAGTTGCGTCGTGTCGAACGAGATACCGAAGTAGGAGCCGGCGATGATGAAGCCGAGAAAGACGGCGATGAGTGTTCGGCGACGCATGTGCGGCGTCCGGACCAGCTGCAGCATCATTTGCAGCGGACTGTGGCCGCCGGCGGTCTTCATAGTGGTCTGGCGGGACAGCATGTCGTTCCGCGCCTCCGCCATCAGCTGCAGCACCTCCTCCTCTGGCAGCACCCGGCGGCCGTTCCAGCGCGCGCCCCGGCGCAGCACGGCACACGCCTCCGGGAACCGGCCCTGCAGCACCAGCCAGCGGGGCGACTCGGGCATCAGCCAGAAGTTGAACAGGAAGATAAGACACGGCACGGCGTACGCCAGCTGGAGCAGCCATCTCGTGCGGATCAGGTACGAGCCGAGCGCGACGAAGCAGGTGCCAAAGGCGAATGGCATGATTGAGACGATACCGATCGCGGCGCGCCGCTCGCTGCTGCACAGCTCCAGAACCAGCACGTACTGGCTGCTGATCATGGCCGACGTGGCGACGCCCGTCAGGAAGCGCACGGCCGCGAAGCTGGCGTAGTCGGTGACGAGCGCGACGGTGAACGCACAGGCGATCAGCAGCAGCATGGCCGGCAGGAAGACGGGCCGCCGGCCGAAGCGATCGGCCAGCTGGCCGCTCGCCACCGAGCCGAACAGGCCGCCGATCATCAGCCACGTCTGCAGCAGTGAGAGCAGCGGCTTGCGGCCGCACACCAGCGTCCACTCAGTCACCACCGTCGACACGTACACGGAAGGGTCGAACGCCCAGCGCTGACAGGCGGCCGTCGAGTTGGCCGCGTGGCAGCGCGGTGTATCGGACGGCAGATTGGCGAAAGTGACGTTGGCGGCGAAGCCGTCGGCGCATCTAAACTTGGGCGTGGCGCCGACGAACATCATGGACATGGAGAAGACGGGGAAGAGCAGCCACATGACGGACATGTACCCGATGAGCAGCGTTTGCCAGCGGCCGGTGCCGCAGCACCGCTCCAGCACGTCCTCGAAGAGCACCTCCGCCTTCTGCTCGGACTTCTCCTCGGCCTTGCCGCTCTCTGCCGTATCCGCCATCGCGACAGCTTACTTGGTCACGAGCACTCCCAGCGGTGTCCGCGTGCGTCGGGCTCAGCGACGTGTCACGCTCCTCTCGGCGCACTCCGTGATCCTGGCCCTCGCACACGGTAGGCTCGCGGAGACTCCGCGCTCCGTCGCCGCACCGCCGGACAGGCGCGCGTACTTCACGTCCGTCGCGTTACTGGTCGGCAGAACCTGCCTCTGCCACCCAACGAAGGCGAGTGGCCTTACAGCGCCGTTTGGCCGGGCGCCGCGACACCGCGTCCGACCGGCCTCATTGGCGCCAGCCGCACTGCAGCGGCCGTTTACGGAACCTCCTCCAGATGCACTTGCCACGCTTCTGTTCTGGAAATATAGATGTGCGTGCGCGCCCACTGTGCAATGTGCATACGTTTGGAGCGGTAGCCGAAGTTAAGAACGGGTACAGCAACTGTAAACCTTTCCCAGTTCCCGCAAAGCTTAACCAACTTGTGTGAAGTAAAAAGAAAAAATATAATAAATAAAGTATAAAATAAAAATATCAATAAGTAAATAAACACAAGCGCCCATACGTTTACGCGCAAAGAGGACGGGTACTTATGTGAGGTTTTTAGCGTGCATATTGCCCATAAAGTAAAAATGTATATAAAGTAAATAAGTGCAAGTTTGTTTCATCTATCTAGTCCCCTGTACAGAATGCCGTTTTCGCAACACACATGCTTCGCTGTAGATGGCGTAGCTGCACCACAGAGGCGACCCAGGGAGGGAAGGAGTTGGGGCAACCAGGTCATTAAAACGCAAACTGGAACAGTCCTTCGGCGTGGGTATTCCGACTCCTGATACCACCCCTGCCAAGAGGCAAGGGCTGGAAAAGTTAGAAAGGTGTATTGTTCGCGCGCATTTAGGTATCGGACTGACAGAGCGATGACCGTAAAGTCAACAAAGATGCAGATGTAAAGTGAACTACAGAATGCAAATAACAGCAGTTTCTCAGAGCGTAAAAAAGTTGAGATTAGTTTGAGTTGTTGACTGATATAACGTGGCGCGAAAAACAGACTTATGGAGCTGTTTTTTAAGTTATAATACTAAAATTAAAGCATTATTTTTATTGGGTGTTTTATGATTATGATTATTGCGGTTTTAGGGCGTCGACTTCTAGGGTCATTTTGCGCCCATAACAGCTAAGTGTTTACCGTGGTGTGTAAATGGCTGTGAATCCTATGTTTCTCAAAAATGAAAACAGCTGTCCGGTGTCAAGCATGCGGGAATCGTCACCAATAAGGTCTGAAAATGTAAGACCTGACGCATCTCGTCCGAAGTAAAGTGCCTGGTCTTCTCTGAACTATGGGCAAGAGTGAATAACGTGGCGAACCGTAAGTGGCGCATCACAGCGAGGACATTTAGGACGGTCTTCGGCGCACAAAAGGTAGCTATGTGTTGCGTGCTTGTGGCCAATTGGTAATCTGCTGAGGGTTACTTCTTCGCGTCTCAACGTACGTGAGCTTGAAGACCATGGACCCAGTTGTGGCCTGATCATCTTTAACTTATTGTTTACAATGGCGTCCCAGCAGCGTTGCCATTTCCCCTTCACAAAGGTCGCGATTGCAGGGTAAAAGTCCCTTGCCAGCAAGGGTAAAGAACGGGCGAAAGGCGCACGCGCTCCCCGTTTTGCGGCCCCGTCAGCACGCTCGTTACCTGCGATACCCACATAACTCAGTATCCAACATAAGACGACAGTTTTACCAGCAAGATCCAGCGCTGTCAGGCGAACTAAAATATCCTGTATAATGGGACAAGGTGGGTTAAAGGTTGTCAGAGCCAACAGGCTGCTCAAGGAATCGGATAAGACCACGTGTGAGTTGCTCTCACCAACTTCGATGAAGCATGGGGCTTTACTGATTGCAACGAGCTCGGACGTGTAAACTGAGGCGTGTTTCGGTTAAGAAAAGGACCGGGTGGCTTGGTCATTCACAAATACAGCACCAACGCCTACCTCCGTCTTGGGCCAATCAGTATATGTGGCTTGAAAACCTATGTACGACCCGATGTGCTCCAGAGCCTTCGATCTCAGGTTGCATGGGATCGCTCCGTGTTTGCTGGTGCATGAAAGGGATACATCCACTTTTGGTGAGATAAGCTCCCATGGAGACACTAATACGGGACGCGACCTTTGCACACCACGCAAAGTTATGTCGCTTCCCCGGAACAGCTTCTTCATATGGACACCAAATGGAGTAGCGGATGGCCTCCCGATACCTTGGAACTTGCTTTCCACATCACGTGAAAAGATTGCTCGGTGAGTCGGATGGTTGGGAAATTGAGCCAGCTTGCAAAAGTACCGCATGCCAAGCATTTCCCTTCTCAGTGCCAACGCCGGTTCATTAACTCCCACTGTAAGGCTAGCAACTGGCGACGTCCTGAATGCCCCCGTCACAATGCGTAATGCGGTATGGTGCGCGGTGTCTAATAAACGTTTGAAGGAGCTCGGCGCGCGGTCATAAATAAAACAGCCATAGTCAAGTTTCGAACGTATAGGTGAGCGGTATAGCAGTAACAGTGTTCTTCTGTCCGCTCCATAAGATGTTCGAGACACATACTTCAGTATCTTCAATGCTTTAAGCAGTTGTCACGTAGGGTTTTTCAAATGTGACCCATACGATAAACGGCTATCAAATTGCAGACCCAAGAGGCGGGCACTGGATTCGTTCGGGATGGTCTGGCCGTATAGCCTTAAAGCCATAGCGGGGCATTGACGACGTCTGAAAAAGTGCATAGCGGCTGTTTTCTAGGTCGAGAAACGTAGTCCGTTTATAACACTCCATCCTTCCAGGCTGATCACAGCCCAATGCAAGCGACGCTCCAAAGAGGCAAAATTTGAAGAGGCATACCAGATGGCGACGTCATCCACGAAGAGAGAGCGGCTGACCGACTTTGGAAGGGAGCCACCAATATCGTTAATCATCACCGCGACAAAGCGACGCTCAGAACACTGCCCTGGGGCACGCCATTATCTTGTTGGTACCAATCCGAGAAGTGTGAGCCAACACGAACTCTGAAAGAACGATCGGTCATAAAGTTCGCTCGGAACGTGCCCATGGCTCCTCGAATGCCGTAATGAAAGAGCTTTTTTAGGATGCCGTAACGCCACGTCGTACCATAGGCTTTTTCAACATAAAAAACACAGCGCCATCATGTCGTTTTTCCCTAGAACTGGTGCGAATGTTTGTGTCGAGAGCTATTAGATGGTCAATGGTACTGCGATTTTTCCTGAATCCACATTGAGCAGCCGTAAAAACGTTGTATCGCTCCAAAAACCAAGACAAGCGCACATTCACCATACGTTCCATCAACTTACAAACGCATGATGTCAGTGAGATAGGGCGATAGTCGGCAGGGTCAGCCCCACTCTTACCAGGCTTGAGCATAGGGACAATATGTGACACACGCCACGACTCCGAAAAACCTCCATTCTCCCAGAGATTGTCGCACGTTGCTAAGAGGCCCTCAACTACTGAAGTGGGGAGTTGCTTAAGCATGGCGTTGTGAACTAGATCCGGACCCTCTGCCACGTTGCGCAGCGATCCGATCGCGGAAATTAGTTCGGCCATTGTAAAAGGTCGGTTACACGACATCTGCTCCGTCGTGCTGAAGTCAACAGGGGATGCCTCGCAGCGAATCCGGTGACGCATAAGGTGTGCGACGGCATTGCCCTTACCACACCGTTCGGAGAATGCGCGAGCGATTTCATTTGCTACGTCAGCTGGGTGTATAATATCACGTCCATTGATACGGAGCACAGGGTGTGGTACAGACAAGTGCTGTCCCACAATGCGTTTGATCCGTGACCATACATTGGATGCAGGTGTTTGGCAGTTTATTTGGCCGATGTACGATCGCCACGATGCCCGCTTAGCCTCTAGAACGGTGCGTCTAGCAGTCGCTCGTGTTCGTCGAAATGCAATAAGATTCTCAGTCGTGCTCCGACGGTCAAACTTTCTAAGGGCCCTCTTACGCGCATAGATGGCGTCGCGGCACTGGTCCGTCCACCACGGAGCAGGGGGACGACGTGGGGCACCGGATGCACGTGGTATGCTTTCTTGTGCCGATCGTAAGATTGTGGAGGTGAGTTTCTCTATCGAAGCAGGCGCATCCACCGAACCGGAGGCCAACCTGGTTTCCACCCGTGCCTGAAATTTATCATGGTCAGCCTTTCTAAGATTCCACCGTTGTGGCCTGGAACCGAGAGCTGCTCCATTCTGGTGACGCAACCAGATGGGGTAGTGATCACTACCAAAGGAGTCGTTGTCAACCGACCATGTCAGGTGTGCCGCCAGTTGGGGGCTGGCAAAACTCAAGTCCAGCGCCGATGGCTGACCTGACGGCAGCGTCATGTGGGTTCGGGTCTCGGTGTTTAAAATGTAGAGATTCATCATGTAAAAAAGTTTCGCAATGCCTGCCGCGAGTGTTGGTCTGGGCGCAACCCCAAGATGTGTTGTGAGCATTGAAGTCACCCGTGAAAAGAAGACGCGGGGAAGCTCGGCCACCAGTAGCCAGTCTCTCAAAACAGAAATTCGTAGATTTTTGGCGTAAATCGTATATTTTTGGCGTACAATCGTAAAATCCAGTTTCTCAAAGCAAAAATGTATAACTAACAACTACAATCTACGACACTGAAAAAATACACAGAAAATGTATAATCTACGACACAAACATACGCAAACAATCTTGCATGAGTTTTTCAAAGCCAAGAACAAATGTATGACAGAGCTTAATTTTGATAATAGCTTAATAGTGAGTGTTCCAGTCTTTCAGACAAGAAGCCCTGGGTAGGGCATGCCAAGACCAAAAGATAAAGCAAAACTGCCTAGTCAAGGAGCTTCCTTTGCAAGAACATCAAAATATATCATGTGTAAGCAGTGCGCCCAGCGGGTGCGTCCACTGAGACGCCGCTACAGCCAGCTCACGGATCGTCAGCGCCCTGGCACGCCTCATTGGTGCGGGTGCGTTCGGCGGTAGGTGCGGCGAACACCGGCTGCCCATCTACATCGGCCACCGTCTCCGGCATCGGGCGGCCGTTGGTCTCGGGCAGGAGCAGGCCGGCGAGGCCGCCCAGCAGGGCGAGGCCGGCGAACACGGCCGACGGCGCGCTCTCGTGCAGCTCACTCACCAAGTCCACCACGAACGGCGCGAGGGCGGCGCCCGCGCGCTCCGCCAGCTGGCGCAGACCGCACGCCAGCGAGCGGACCTCGGTGGGCATCAGTTCGGCCACGAACACCATTATCGTGTTAAAGGCGGAGGAGACGCCGATCTTGGCGACCACGCCGAGTACCAGCCAGAGCGTGGTGTCCTTCTGCACGAAGGTGAGTAACATGGCGGCGGCCTGCACCGAGAGGAGGAGGATCAGCGAGCGTCGCCGTCCCAGCCGATCCAGCAGGGGAAACACTAAGCTGGAGGGAATGTCGGCGAGACCGGAAAACACCGCCGCCAGATGCGGGCTCGCCGCCAGTTGCGTCGTGTCGAACGAGATACCGAAGTAGGAGCCGGCGATGATGAAGCCGAGAAAGACGGCGATGAGTGTTCGGCGGCGCATGTGCGGCGTCCGGACCAGCTGCAGCATCATTTGCAGCGGACTGTAGCCGCCGGCGGTCTTCATAGTGGTCTGGCGGGACAGCATGTTGTTCCGCGCCTCTGCCATCAGCTGCAGCACCTCCTCCTCTGGCAGCACCCGGCGGCCGTTCCAGCGCGCGCCCCGGCGCAGCACGGCACACGCCTCCGGGAACCGGTCCTGCAGCACCAGCCAGCGGGGCGACTCGGGCATCAGCCAGAAGTTGAACAGGAAGATAAGACACGGCACGGCGTACGCCAGCTGGAGTAGCCATCTCGTGCGGATTAGGTACGAGCCGAGCGCGACGAGACAGGTGCCAAAGGCGAATGGCATGAGTGAGACGAGACCGATCGCAGCGCGTCGCTCGCTGCTGCACAGCTCCATCATCAGCACGTACTGGCTGCTGATCATGGCCGACATGGCGACACCCGTCAGAAAGCGTACGGCCGCGAAGCTGGCGTAGTCGGTGACGAGTGCGACGGTGAACGCGCAGGCGATCAGCAGCAGCATGGCCGGCAGGAAGACGGGCCGCCGGCCGAAGCGATCGGCCAGCTGGCCGCTCACCACCGAGCCGAACAGGCCGCCGATCATCAGCCACGACTGCAGCAGCGAGAGCAGCGGCTTGCGGCCGCACACCAGCGTCCACTCGGTCACCACCGTCGATACGTACACGGAAGGATCGAACGCCCAGCGCTGACAGGCGGCGGTCGAATTGGCCGCGTGGCAGCGCGGCGTATCGGACGGCAGCGAGGCGAAGGTGGCGTTGGCGGCGAAGCCGTCGGAGCATTTAAACTTGGGCGTGGCACCGACGAACATCATGGACATGGAGAAGACGGGGAAGAGCAGCCACATGACGGACATGTACCCGATGAGCAGCGTTTGCCAGCGGCCGGTGCCGCAGCATCGCTCCAGCACGTCCTCGAAGAGCACCTCCGCCTTCTGCTCGGACTTCTCCTCGGCCTTGCCGCCATCTGCCGTCCCCACCATCGCAACAGCTTACTTGGTCACGAGCATTCCCCAGCGGTGTCCGCGTGCGTCGGGCTCAGCGACGCGTCACGCTCCTCTCGGCGCACTCCGTGATCCTGGCCCACGCACACGGCAGGCTCACGGAGGCTCCGCGCTCCGTCGCCGCACCGCCGGACAGGCGCGCGTGCTTCACGTCCGTCGTGTTACTGGTCGGCAGAACCTGCCTCTGCCACCCAACGAAGGCGAGTGGCTTTACAGCGCCGTTTGGCCGGCCGCCGCGACCCGTCCGACCGGTCTCAGTGGCGCCCGCCGCACTGCAGCGGCCGTTTAAGGAACCTCCTCCAGATGCACTTGCCACGCTTCTGTTCTGGAAATATAGATGTGCGTGCGTGCCCAGTGTGCAATATGCATATGTTAGGGGCGGTAGCCGAAGTTAAGAACGGGTACAGCAACAGTAAACCTCTCCCAGTTCCCGCAAAGCTTAACCAAATTGTGTGTAAAGTAAAAAGTAAAAATACATATATAATAAAGTATAAAGTAAAAATGTCAATAAGTGAAAAAACACAGGCGCCCATACGTTTACGCGCAGAGGACCGGTACTAATGTGTGGCTTATAGCGTGCATAGTACGCATAAAGTAAAAATGTAGATACAGTAAAGAAGCGCAAGTTTGCTTCATCTATATAGCTCCCTGTACAGAATGCCGTTTTCGCAACACATGTGCTTCGCTGCCGATGGCGTAGCTGCACCACAGAGGCGACCCAGGGAGGGAAGCAGTTGGGGGCAGCCAGGTCATTTAAACGTAAACTGGAACAATCCTTCGGCGTGGGTATTTCGACCACTGATACCACCCTTGCCATTAGGCAAGGGCTGGAAAAGGTGGAAAGGCGTATTGCTCGCGCGCATTTAGGCATCGGACTGACAAAACGATGACCGTAAGGTCAACAAAGATACAGATATGAAGACAAGTACAGAGTGCAAATAACAGCAGTTTCTCAGATCGTAAAAAAGTTGGGGTTAGTCTGATTTATTGAATGATAAAACGTGGCGCGAAAAGCAGACTTATGGAGCATGTCTTTTAAGCCATATTACTAAGTTTAAAGCATTATTTCATCGGGTGTTTTAGATACGCGCGAATGATGAAGGAGCTCAAAGAAAAATTCAAAATTATTGATAGCCCTCAGCACCGCTTACGGATCCTTACGTTGACGTTATTTACGTTAGAGAGAACCGCCGAGTTTTTCGGAGTGGTGCAGTAGCACATGGTTCGTCGCAACTTCGAACTGAAAGAGCACGGAATTTCACTAGAGATGTTTGCCTACTCGACGAGGAGAGAATATATGAGGAGAAAACCCAAAAGATAGCTTCGTATTACGAATTAGATGCCATAATTGAGATATGTCCCGGAAAGAAGGTCTATGTGTCTTTGAAAGATGAAAATGGCGATAACGTAAAAAAATCAAAAACGTCTGATTCGAGCCAATGTGTGTGAGATTTACCGACTGTACACGGAAGAGGAAAGCAGCCCACTAGTCGGATTTTCCAAGTTCGCCTAGTGTCAGCCCAAAAGCACTGCGTCCTGATGGGTAGCTGCGGCGCTCAAGCAATTAGCGTGCTTTTTTCATCAGAACGCGAAGCTGATGGTAGGATCTCGTGGCCTGTAGGATTTATAGCTTCTGATTGACAGTCAATGCCCAAACAGAGGACATTTTGGATTCGTTCGATGGAATCAGATTTAGTAGCCAGTGGGTGAGCACCGATCGCTGTACATAACTGAACTTGTTCTGCCAATGGACGAGCTGTGGGCCAAATTGTCCGAAGTCATAGTTGCACTGACGTGCAGAATGTATGCTTTTCCGTACTAAAGGGAGAGGTCCTTCGGGCAGAGGATGTGCTTAGCATCATATTGACTACGGTCAAGACTCCAAAGGGACACTTAAGGTTCGTAAAGTAACCCGGCGAGTGCTGACTCACTGTCCTTGAGGTAGCGTCAGATGTTGGGAGGGAAGTAGCTGTTGCTTGATTTCCAGAGCTTTGATAAATTAGAGCGAGTTATACTGAGTCACTGGCGCACTTGGCCGACTTCCACCTGCATGCCACCCGTCGCGTTGTTAACTTTAGTGTCGTTTCACAATGTGCTGATCTTCTTCTCAGCAAAAATCGGCGTTTTCACTGTTTTGTTTTTTTTTTAGTTCTGTTCCGTTTTTTATGATCACAGGCAAACTAAGAAGCCTTTCGCCTGGGCTTCGGCAGCAGAACAAGACAAAATGAGGGGCCCAGGCTTGACTCCACCTGGGGGGGAGATTGATTGATCTCGATGGTTGAATGATTGATTAAGTATAGAGTCCTCATCTACAAAACATTCCATTCACACGATGACAAAACATTTTTGGCAACAACAATGGACCGATACTACCAGAACACAACTTTATGATATCAAACCAGACATTACCACTTGGCCATCAACGCATCGTAAAGACCAACTGGAGGAGAAGGTGCTGGCCCGTCTACGAATCGGACACACTACACTCACACATAGTTACATATACTTAAGACAACCTCGTCCTCACTGTCAGCCGTGCGATCATCCACTTTCGGTTTAACATATTTTTGTTGAGTGCACAAAATACCAAGAGCACCGCAAAGATACGCAGGCCTTTTTGTCGTAATCAAAATATCGAGTTTTCTTTAAAAAACGTCCTTGGCGATGACCATCCTGAACTGCTTAACATTGTCTTTCACTTTCTCAGGCTTACCCGCTTGTTTCAAGCTTTGTAAATGTCAATAAACGTACCCTTTTCTTCACGTACATAATTACACCGATTTGAAATAACATCATCCAGGCGTGAAATGTTCTGAACAGGCCGAAACGCCTCAAACAAATAAACTAAACTAAACTATTGTTAATACAGGGATCACACATGCTTTCGTCAATCCATTCGGTGGCCACACACCCGTCTGGCACGACCTCAGCAAGTGGTTTGCTCCTTTTGCGGCTCTCAGCCAAGGAGTCCTTTTTCGCATCGTCGTTCTCGTCGCTTTTCCGTTCGCACTAGCTCCAAACACACCTTCTCGCTTAATTTTTTTGTTCCTATCTCGCTCCCCTAATATGGGGAAGCGAAGCAAGCGCAAGAAGGATGATACTGACACGGACTCGAACTCGGCCTCTGACCTTGATAATGTCCTGCACATAGACCACGAAAGTGCCGCCAGCCCTGCTTTGGCTGCCACTTCGTCTAATGACCTTCGCGAGCCTCAGGCCATGACCGTTGGTACGCACACTTCCACCGCGGTGGGTGGACAGCAGACTTCGTCTCCGTCCAACGCCCCTGGTTCCGACCCTCGCTGGTCTTTGAACACTCCGGTGCCTGCTCACCCTGATGCTGACTCTCTCTCGACAATGACCAGTGTTCGCCAGCCCTCTGAGCCAATTCTGGATTCTCTCGGCTCGTACGTTGTCGTCCAAACTTGTGATGAAAATGTGTCGTTTCGAAAGATCAACGTTTTTCGCCATTAAAGCAAATCAAGGCTATCTGCGGTCCATGCGAACTCAAAATTGAAGCACCAGCAAACGGATCACTCATCATTACAACAACCACTCGCGCACAAACCAAAGCCCTACTCAAAACAGCTGAATTTTGCGGCAAACAAGTGAAAGTCTCCCTGCACCATGCCAGAAACACCAGTAAGGGCACCATCTTCGCGCCTGAACTCCGCTTCAAGACGGAGGACGAGATCCTGGCGGAGCTCAGAGATGAGCAAGTTTGCCATGTCCGTCGGCTGACGACTTTCAGAGATGGTCAGCGTCGCGACACCAGCCTGCTCGTTATCACTTTTGCTGCCACCCGACTTCCAGATTCGCTCACCGCTGGTTACCTTCGTTATAAAGTAAGAGTATTCATTCCAAATCCACTCAGGTGTTTTAAATGTCAACGGTTCGGACACGGCAGCAAGTACTGCAAACAGAGTGCCAGATGCTTGAAGTGCGGCGAGACTCCTCACGAGGGATCTGCCTGCACATCACCCCAGAAATGCCTGGGCTGTGGAAGTGCTGATCACGCCACCAACTCTTCTCAGTGTCCCACGTGGAAAAAAGAAAAATAAATTTGTTCTGAAAATGCAAAGACAGGTGTGTCGCACCTCGAACCACGGCGCACCGTTGAATCCAAAATGTCGTCGCAGCCCAGAAAAACATATGCACCAGTAGCAAAAGCCACGATGGCCACATGTGCAACACAGACCGACTCCATCGCCCATCTGCCTCCCCTGAAACTTCTCAACCTCCGCCAGTCGGTTTCACCTGAGTCAGCTACACAGACCCAGACGAAAAATGCCGTTGAGTCGCCCCTGGCTGGACGCTCGGATGCCCAGGCGCCCGTGCACCCCCGTCCCCAGGTTGGCCGGCGTTCCAGCCCGCCGGCTGTGCGTGATTTACGTGCGGGTCAGGCCGTCCAGCGTTCTAGCCCCCCCCCCCCCCCCCCCGCCCGCTATGAACAGTCGGCGGCCTGGACCTTCTGACCATCACACGAGCATTACCTCCCCTCCTCCCACCACAACACCTGTCGAAACACGCCCGAACCAAGTCCGCCGGTCCCGTCCATCGGTGAGGGTGGCAATGGGACGGCCTCGGTCTGTTTCGTTCGGGCGATTCCCATCAACTGGTGGGAATGGATCCTTTCATCACTAAATGTCTTTCATCTTACAGTGGAATTGTCGCCGTCTCATTTCAAAAGGGTCCGAAATGAAAGCGCTCTTATTGACCCAGACTTCACACACCACCTCCTTGTTAAAATCGTCAATCTCTATCATATATAACACACACATGATATGAATATCAAATTTCTATGGATTCCAGGACATACAGGCATCATGGGCAATGAACGGGCTGACCAACTAGCCAAGGAAGCTTTGACAGACCCACACATCATGGAGATCCCTGTTGACCATGCATCTACAAAACATTCCATTCGCACAATGACAAAACATTTTTGGCAACAACAATGGACCGATACTACCAGAACA